TTGAAGTTATGGAAGTAATAACACAAGGAATCACAATGAAATCACCAAAGGTGTCATATAAAATAGGTAATTTGGCAGGTATCAGACTGAGAAGCGGGAAGAAAGAAGATGCATGAAACAAATAAATATTCATACTAAATCCAATTTCAGTTCAGATCAATTTGACTCTCAGATTTCTGAACTTTAAACACACGAACATAGAATTGTGTGACGTAGCTCTGCAGATGAATCCTACAGAAATACATTTTGCTAAAACCAGTAGAAATGACTCTAATTTACATTCCTACTAATGCCAGTTGCAAAAGATGACAGCATGTTGTTATTTTACTATCACAGTTCATGGTGGATTATATGCAAAATAAAGAGGTAGTGGCTTTAGACCTTAATTTTAACACTCCAATTTTTTCCACATCCAATGGGTGAATGCATACACTTTGCAATCTGTTTTGGCAGTTCTGTATTTATTATTCATGCATTTATTACTTGAATTTCCATGCTGCTCCATCCTAACTAGCTCTGAATGGCATACAATATGAATGAAAATTAGAAGAAAAAAAAAACAATGATTGGGAGCCATGCAGTTAGCTACAAGTTTTAAGTACATATAATACTGTTTTAAATAAATAAAATAATAATAGCAGTATCCACCACGGGCAGGTATGAGCTCAACACCCCCCAAGTGTTGTATCAAAAAGCCATGTTTTCCCATTTCTGTGAAACTCATCAGGGAGGGAACAATTGATACGTATGAAAGAAGCTGTTCCATTTAGAAAGGAGGCTGCACTGAGAAGGCCTGACATTGAGAAGGCCCAATCATTCAGAGGATCTGACCATTGAGAAAGGGCACTCAATACTGAGAAGACATGAAAGGTGATTGTAATGGTATGTGTGAATGACCTCGGGGATGAAGGAAAGAGATGCTGCCTAGGAAACAATTAGCCAAGAGACAGAAGAGCCCCTACTATATCTTAACAGTCAAGGAAAAAAATGTTTGGAAGGACCTGGCATAATGGATCAAGAAGTTAAGAGCGGCAGCAGGAATGTTTACCTTCAGACCTGTTAAGATTCATTTAATAGAGACTTCTAATAAAATACAATTAGCTCATCTAG